ATCCCCAATGAAATACTGGCAAACTGAATCCAGCAGCACATCAAAAAGCTTATCCAGCAGGATCAAGTCAACTTTATTCCTAGGATGCAAGGCTGCTTCAACATACACAAATCGATAAATGTAATCCAACACATAAACCAAACCAATGACAAAAATCGCATGATTATCTCAATAGTTGCAGAAAAGGCCTTTGAGAAAATTCAACACCGCTTCATGCTAAAAGCTCTCAATAAACTAGGTATTCCTGGAATGTATCTCAAAATAATAAGAGCTATTTATGACAAACCCACAGCCAATATCATACTGAATGGGCAAAAGCTGGAAGCATTCCCTTTGAAAAACCGGCACAAGACAAGGATGCCTTCTCTCACCACTGCTATTCAACATAGTATTGGAAGTTCTGGCCAGGGCCATCAGGTAAGAGAAAGAAATAAAGGACATTCAAACAGGAAGAGAGGAAGTCAAATTGTCTCTGTTTGCAGATGACATGACTGTATATTTAGAAAACCCCATTGTCTCAGCCTAAAATCTCCTTTAGCTGATAAGCAACTTCAGCAAAGTCTCACGATACAAAATCAATGTGCAAAAATCACAAGCATTCCTATACACCGATAATAGCCAAATAGAGATCCAAATCATAAGTGAACTCCCCAAAAAAGAGAATGAACTACAATTACAAAGGATATGAAAGACCTCTTCAAGTGCAAACCACTGCTCAAACAAATCAGAGAAGACACAAACTAATGCAAAAACATTCCATGCTCATGGATAGGAATAATCAATACAGTGAAAATGGCCATACTGCCCAAAGTAATTAATATATTCAGCGCCATTCTCATCAAGCTACCGTTGACTTTCTTCACAGAATTAGAAAAAAACTACTTTAAATTTGACATGGAACCAAAAAAAGAGCCAGTATAGCCAAGACAATCTTAAGCAAAAAGAACACAGATGGAGGCATCATGCTACCTTACTTCAAACTGTACTACAATGCTATAGTAACCAAAACAGCATGGTACCGGTACCAAAACAGATACATAGACCAATGGAACAGAACAGAAGCCTCAAAAATAACACCACATAACTACAACCATCTGATCTTAAACACACCTGACAAAAACAAGCAATGGGAAAAGGATTCCCTAATTAATAAATAGTATTGGGAAAACTGGCTAGCCATATGCAGAAAACTGAAGCTGGACCCCTTCCTTACATCTTGTTCAAAAATTAGCTCAAGGTGGATGAAAGACTTAAATGTAAGTCTTAAAACCATAAAAATCCTAGAAGAAAAGCCAGGCAATACCGTTCAGAATATAGGCTTGGGCAAAGGCTTCATGACTAAAACACCAAAAGCAATTGCAACAGAAGCCAAAATAGCAACAGAAGCCAGAAAGACAAATGGGATCTAATGAAACTAAAGAGCTTCTGCAGAGCAAAAGAAATGATCATCAGAGTGAAGAGGAAATCTACTGAATGGGAGACAGTTTTTGCCATGTATCCATCTGACAAAGGGCTAATAGACAGAATCTAAAAGAAACTTAAACAAATTTATAAGAAAAAAACAAACAACACATCAAAAACTGGATGAAGGATATGAACAGACACTTTTCAAAATATGACATTTATGGGACCAACAAACATATGAAAAAAAGTTCATCATCACTGGTCATTAGAGAAATGCAAATCAAAACCACAATTAGATATCATCTCATGCCAGTTAGAATGGTAGTCATTAAAAAGTCAGGAAGCAGCAGGTGATGAAGAGGATGAGGAGAAATAGGAATGCTTTTACATTGTTGGTGGGAGTGTAAATTAGTTCATTATGGAAGACAGTGTGGTGATTCCTCAAGGATCTAGAACCAGAAATACCATTTGACCTAGCAGTCCCATTACTGGGTACATATCTAAAGGATTATAAACCCTTCTACTACAAAGACACATGTACATGTATGTTTATTGCAGCACTGTTCACAATAGCAAAGACTTGGAACCAACCCAAATGCCCATCAATGATGGACTGGATAAAGAAAATGTGGCACATATACACCATGGAATACTATGCAGCCATAAAAAGGGATGAGTTCATGTCCTTTGCAGGGACATGGATGAAGCTGTAAACCATCATTCTCAGCAAGCTAACACAGGAACAGAAAACCAAATAATGCAGGCTCTCACTCATAAGTGGGAGTTGAACAAGGAGAACACATGGACAGGGAGGGGAACATCACACACTGGGGTGAGTTGGAAAGTTGGGGGTACGGGAGGGATAGCATTAGGTGAAATACCTAATGTAGATATGGGTTGATGGGTGCAGCAAACCCCCATGGCACGTGTATACCTATGTAACAAACATGTACATTCTGCACATGTATCCCAGAACTACAGTATAATTTAAAAAAATGTATTTAAAAAAATTTTATGGGTGCATAGTAGGTGTGTATATTTATTGGGTACATGAGATATTTTATTAGAGGCATGCCATGTGTAATAAGCACAGAAATGATAAACTTTTAAATAAAACATAGGTATGCAATTCATAAGAAAATTCCGAATTACATAGACTCAGAAAATAACCATGAACCCCAAACTTAGAAGACTATGAACAAACAAAATCCCCCACAGACTAAGTATCATTTAAACCATGATGAGTCAGTGGGCCCAGCCTGCAAGTCCCAGGGAGCCCAGGTCTGGTTATTCTTCAAGTAGCAGCTTGACTGTGAGCTATTCAAGGCCTTCTGAACAACTTGTGATTTTCCACAGCGGAACCTACACTTCAGTAGTCTAAGAATCCCTGCAAAGTAGCTGACGCAATGCAAAACAAAGAAAGAAAAGCTCAAAATAAACCTGGTCAGCTGAGAATAACAATGATGCAATGACTGTATAGCTTTTAGTTCTCAGTGATGTCATTGCAAGTGCGAATTTGATGCTGTGATAACTTATCAAGAATGAGTAGAAGAACCTTGAGGACATCATGCTGAGTGAGATTAGCCAGCCACACCAAAAAGACAAATACTGTATGAGTCCACTTATATGAGGCATCAAAGTAGTCAAATCCATAGAGACAGAAAGCAGGTTTGCCCGGGGCCAGAGGGAAGGGGAATGAGGTGCTATCACATCATTCAGGGCATGGATTTTGTTTTTCAAGGTGAAGACAGTTTTGAAGACTGCACAACAATGTGAATGTACTTAATGCTGCTGAAATGTACACCTAAAAGTAACATGGCAAATTTTATGTCATATATGCTTTACCACAATTAAAACTTTTAAAAAATTAAACGTTTAAGAAATGAGTGGAGAAGTAAATATTCTCCCCATGTTATCCTTTCCTGTCTTTCCACTTTACCATAGTTAGGATGACTGCAGAATCTCAGTTTGCTTACAACAGTGTTGGTTACTCCTGTTATCTTTAGGCATTTTCCATAAGTCACCTTCACTCTTAAAAGTGTTGTAGGTAATAATCATTATGCTTACCATGTCCAGTACTCCTTTGGCAGGTGAGGAAAGCCAGAGAATTTAGAGCTGGAAGGCATGGTGTGCATACTGCTAGCATCTTTAGTCATTCATTATATGCTCATTAACTCATTCACAAAGAACCTCTGTGCACCTCCTGCCTGTAATCATACTGTGCCCTACATGGATGTTAAGTCTCCCAGCTGGACTTTGGTTCCTCAAGAGTAGGGTTTATACCTAATTCATCTAGTATCCACAGATCCCAGCCCAATGCCTGGTGCAGGTCAGGTTCCCAACAGATTTCTGCTGAATTGCAAAAAATCCTGGTTCCAGATGTAAGACAGGCAATAGTGCAGAAAAGTCTTACTTCTGTGCCCTCTGGGAGTAGCCCAGAAGAGTCTCCCTGCCTGGATAGACAATTCCCAATGGGAGAACAGGGGCCTCAGCTAGAGGCCTCTCACACTTTACCCACTTCTGAAAGACTTGCTAGAGTCTTTCCTGATGGTGCTTTTATTTATTTATTTACTTAATCAACTGAGAAGCGTCTCCATTAGTCTTGACATAGATGCTCGTGATATGCTAATAAATGCATAGTAAATCTTGCACGTGTTCCTCTGGTGTAAATTATCCGTTCCTAAAGCAGAGCTTGAAAGTCTGCTGCAATGGCCCAGAAAATTGGGCTAATTATTTCAGTTTGGCGGCAGGCTCATGAATCTGGTCTTGGTTTCCTTTTTCAAAGGCAATGCCATCCTCTAGGTGAGTTTCAAGCACTTCCTCAAATGCCGTGCACATGATTCCAAGTGTGGGATTGAGTTACACTCTGCTTGAGTGCTGTTTGTTCTCTGATCTCTAATGACCTATGTTCATTTAGGGACTCGGGGATGGTATCTCTATCTTCCAAGTTGCTTCAGATCTCTGAATCCAGGAAAGAATAGAGCTTACCATGCTCCTGACCTCTGCCTATTCCTCTTTCTCCTCCTCCTCAGAGCACTGGATCAGGGAGCCTGAGATCCCAGACAGTGAGAGGAGGCCTGGAGAGGCGTGCTAAGTAAATGTTAATGAACCCGCAGGTTCAGACTGGAATGTCTTTTAGGGATTTCAGACTTGTTTTGATAAATTAAGCTCAACATCTGGATGGCATTTGGATTAAGAACCATCGAGAGCTGCCCACTTACCCTGTGATCTGTCTCGCCAGTGCACATCCCTTTTATTAGTCTTTTCAAAACAACTTTGGCTCTGTTTATCTTTAGGGTACTTTTTTCTATTTCTCTAATTTCTGTTCTCATCTTTATTATTTTATTCCTTCTACAAATGTTCCTACTTTTTAATATGTATCTTAGCTGATTAAAACTTTCTGGGGCATAATTTTTCTGTTTCCCAGTGTGTGTTGAAGGCAATCAGATCAAGACTTAAAGGGAGGATGATTAGTTCTGGTTTCAAAGGGCTCTGTTTTAGGAAGGACACAAGACAGTATATGTGAAATGTTAAATTAATTACTCGTAGACAGACTGTAAGATTTCAGAGGTGTGTTGAATGGGGAAAGCTCCAAGGAGAAGGTAGGAACAAAGTCAGCCCTCACTGGACGGCTGGATCTCCATGGACTTGGAGGAGCAGAAGAGAAAGCCAGCAAGGAGCACATTTGGAAGCCCACCATGACCTGGGCAGAGACCCTCCCTAGGCAAGGGCACTGTGAGGCAAAGGTCCAGTGTGAGGATCCAGGGGAGGCCAGCACCTAGGAGTTTGTCTGTGTGGAGTAAAGCATCCTGGAAGCATCTGAGCAGAAATGTGAGCACAATGAGGCCAGAGAAGGGTCGTTTAGAGAACTGTGTTTAGGAAACAGTGGTTTAGAGAAGGGTAGTTTAGGGAATGGCGGTTTAGAGAATGATGGTTTGGCAGGAAACACTGTAAGCAGGGTGAGAGCGTGATGAAGGGATGGGTGGGCAAGACCTTGAGTCAAGTGACACAGGGAGAGCACGTCCTTTGAGGTGACTTTCCATGTGAGCTTCTGGGTGTGGGAGGCATGGGATACGGGCACAATTCATTTGTGGAGTGCCTCCTAGGTCAGGCCCAGACAGGTCCATTTAGCAAAGAATATCTCCATGACTTCAGCTGGGGTTGCAAGGCCTTGCTGGAGTCACAGCAACTAGGACGGACCCAAGGCCACTTGCTGGGCTTCCCAGGAGCCAAAGTGTGTGATTGTTATACCATATCCCAACTCCTTTCGGGGTTGCCAACTGGTGTAATGGCAAGGACAAGGGAGAGTAGTTGGGGCTGATATGTGTGGTCCCAAACATTCATATGACATGGCTGGATGTCCTCCACCAAGGAACTTTCTGTCATGGCAAGACCCTCAAGCAGGTGGGCACAGTCCCCAGGAAAGCAGATGGAGGAGCAGGTTCCAAGGGCCACTACCACTGCTCTCAGCTGTCCTTCTTCCAGGAAAAATGCCAGTCCAGGAGGGAAGCATGGGCTGTGATCTTGCCATGTGCCCCCATGGCACTGAGTGCCTGGTCACTCCTGCTGACCTCCTCTAACAGAAATGGGCTTAACCCTGAGAAGGAGCTTCTTAGCACCTCCCCACCTGTGCCAGGGCAGGAGCATGCTATCTGAGGAGAGAACAGAACTCTCTTGCACCGAAGGGGTGGCTTCTTCAGGCCCCAGTCCCTGAGGAGGATGAGGAAGTCTTGCTTTGGGTGAGTCTACAATTCTACCTGGCCACTGCCCCTCACATCCACATAGCTGATCTTGGGCAGAGTGGACTAGGGGCTCCCACTTCCCAGCCTGGACTCCTCTGGGAGGACTCCAGTCCTAAGGAAATGATAGATCTTTCCAGAGCTTTGAATGGCCAGGAGACTCATCCACAGGGGAGGCACCCACCTGGCTCCACCCCAGCTCTGGCCCAGGCATGCAGACCTTTGTGACAGGGATTCTCTCCTAAGGCACCGGCTCTGCTTAAGAGGCACTACATTGTCACTAGGTCTCTTTATCCTTCAAGACAATCTTTTAAATGAAACTGTCATGCCTTCTCCTAGGGAGTGCCTTGGTTTTAAGATGTTGATGAAGGTTTTCTTGACTTGGAAAGCTGAGGAGTCTTTAAGTCAACACATTCCACCTGGTATATTCTATGTTCACCAAATCTTTATCACCGGCCAGTTTTGACTGTTGCAGATTTATCTTGCCTTAGAAATGAAAATTGCTTAGTCCCTGTGGCAAACATTACTGATGATAGAACTCCAGGTCCTTGGCCAGCAAGTAACACACCTGCCGGCCCACAGGGTCAGAACATGGCCTTCGAGGCAACCTGCACAGCCTGGAGGAATCTCCAACCCAGCAGGAGCGTCCGGATGGGTCCCTAGAACTTGAGCTCCTGGAGACCTCTTCTGACAGCCTAACATTAATTGCCCCTTCATATGATCACTTTCAGTCACATCTTATTCCTTTCAGGGCCCTGAGCATGTTCTAAAATGACTTTATTTGCCCAAGCAGTTTATCTCTCTCTCTCTCTCCCTCCCCCCCCCCACCTTCTCTCTCTCTGCCGGAAGTTCATCTGCTCAAGATTTTCCCTCTGTCTCCCCAGTGCTGATTATGTAGCATGCCTGGCATAGATGGGGCTTGATAAATGCTTAAGGAAATGAATCAACATGGTTTACCCCAGCGTCTCCATCTGTCACTCAGGAGCCAGGGTTTGATTTTTCAACAGAGCATACACATTCTTGAGACTTAGTATGGTGGGGTGGAACGGAGGACTCAGTCTACAGTCAGCCTCATGTGTATTCGGACACCACTCATTAGCACAATGACCTCAACTTCGACATCTGAAAAGTGGGAATCCCTCACTCATAATAAAGAATAGAATAAAGCATATGAAGTGCCCCACCCAAAACAGATGGTCAATGAATAATTGCTACTATATTGTACCTGATGATCTCACAGGGGTTTTTGTCTATTGTTTTGTATTGTCTTGTTCTATTTATCCAATTTTTCTAAAAGGAAAGTGGCCCTGGCCACTCAGGAAGTCAGGGCTGATGATCTCAGGGATACCAGAAGGGAAGGGAGAACAAGGGCCTGAGTCTCCAAAGCCTCTAAGAGGAGAGGCTGCCTGCCTTCAGAGACCCTGCCTAAGGCTGAAGGAAGACCATGGATGCATCCAGTTCCCAGGGGCTGAGTCTTAAGGTCATACATAAAGCAATAAGTTTGAATTTCACAGAGCTTCCTACCAGTGCTTTCAGTCCTACTCCAATTACATAATTCAAAGTTTCTCACTGAGAGCCTGCTAGTCGGAACTCAGGAGAAAAGATGCAGGAAAAGGGAATTGGGAACTCACAGCTGCTTAACAAGATTCACAGCTGCGGTAAAGGCTACTCGTGCCCTCAGCCTTTGGGAAGCACTCCCTCACCTTGATTCTGCAGTTCCATATTCTCCTGGACATCCTCATGTTTCTCTGGGGGTCCCTCTCAGTTTCTTCATGGGTGCACTTTTCTTTACCCAGTTGATCATTACAGTCATACATCACTTAATAGTGGGGACACGTGAGAAATGAGAAATGTGTCATAGGTGATTTTGTTGTTGTGCAAATATCATAGAGTGACTTAAACAACCCTAGATGGTATGGCTACTACACACTCAGGCTATATGGCATAGACTATAGCCACCAGGCTGCAAACCTGTACAGCATAGGACAACACTGAACACTGCAGGCAATTGTAACACAATGATATCTGTGTATCTAAACAGCTAAATGCAGAAAAGATACAGTAAAAACACAGTATCACAATCTTACCGGACCACAATTGTATATTTGGTCCATCACTGAAATGTCTTTATAAGATTCATGACTGTTGAGTTCTGACTGCTTCCTTACTGATTTCTTTGTCCCCAGGCAATTGTGGCATGAACACAGCTCTGTCTGTTTCCCCAGGATTATGGATGTGCCCATTGCTCAGCCGGCTTCTCAATCCATCCACCTGTGCAGCCCCTCCACCTGGCAATTCCAAGCATCTCAAGCTCAACAAGTCCCATGCGCCAAGTTACTCCCATCCTCTGTTTCCCTCTCCAGGTTCCTTGGCTTAATGCACAGCTTCTCTGCCCCTGAGGTACCAAGACAGCAACCCAGGGACCAGCACTGGTTCTTCCATCCCCCACACCCATACACAGCCACCAGGTCTGGTTGATTTAACCACCGTCTGCCACTATTTTCCATCCTTTCCCCATTCAGGCCCCTGTCTCTTCTGTTCTGAGGACTGAACAGCCTCCATCTCGTCTTCCAGCTGCAAGTGGGGCCCCTCCCATTCATTCTTCATGCAGCCGACAGCAGGGCACTATCTTTCCAAATCGAAATCAAATAGATCACATCAACCCCCTACCCCCACCCCCGGCACTAGAGTCCAGCATTAGAAGTTCAGTAGAGTCAGGATTAGATCACATCAACCCCTCTCTGGCACTGGAGTCTAGCATTAGAAGTTCGGTAGAGTCAAGAAAGTGCCTCCCCTAGGGTGGTAGGGCAGGGCAGAGGGGAAGAAGGGAGCCTTCTGCACATCTGGAAATGCCCAAGTCCTGATGTGGTGACAGTTACCTGGGTGTATAAACAGGTAGACACACATCAAGGTGTGAACTTCACATCTGTGCATTTTACTATATGTGAATTATTTGTCAAAAAATACAAATAAGACATTTATAAATGTATACAACCTGTGAAAAAAGAAATAAATAAAAGAAGCCTGTTAGGGACCCCTAATCTCTTTAAGGATGAAAATCAAGCATTAACACAGCCTGTGTTTAGGATGACATTCACCTGGCTTGGCTGGCAGGGTCCCAGCTTATGCCTGAGGTCATGATGTAATTCTCAACAAGCCCAGTCCAATTCTCCAATTCTTGTAATTCTCAACAAGCTGTGCATTAAGCCAAGGAACCCGGAGAGGGAAACACAGAGGAGGATGGGAGTAACTTGGGAAATGGGACTTGTTGAGTTTGAGATGCTTGGAACTGCCAGGTGGAGGGGCTGCACAAGTGGATACATGGCAGCTTCCCTCCTGCCTCCAGGCCTCACTCCTACTGTTCCCTCTGTCTAGAATGCTCTCTGTTCACCTATCACTCATTCCTTGGATTCCAGGTGAAACATCACTGACTCTGCACATCTGCCCTTTACTTACTCCCACACCAGGAGGGTCCCTCCAGGTGCCCCAGGAACACACTGTCTGTCTCTTTCCTTCACTTTCCCAAGTCAGCTGGAGACTCGGGGTGGTGATGTGACCACCCCCTTGGTTTCAACACGTATTGAAATGTGCTTATCTTCTCTTTCAGGATACAAGGAGCCTAAACCTCCCACCATATAGATGAGGAGACTGAATGATATTAAGGGGCCCCTCCAAGACTGCCTGGCAATGACTGCCAGAACCAGGACTGGCACCCATGAGAACCCCGATTCAGGGTTCAGACTTCCCAGGTTATTCTGATGACTACACTATTTGATGGGGCTTTGAGGAAATGATTCCAGATTTAATTTCCAATTCCTTGGGACTGGGTCTGATAATTCAGAAAGTGCAGAAGATCTAATTTA